CATAAAGCGTACCCTTTTCAGGAGGAGGCTCAGGAAAAGGGCCATGAGCCACAGAAGCCCTGGGGCCCCCCTCCGGTACTACTTACACACAACAACATATATATTATTATTAAAATTATATATTATATTATGATGCGTCAGTATATTCATTTTTTTTTGTGAGATAGGAATTTACATGCCTAGGATGTAAGTAGTTAGGTGTTTCGTGTAGATATTTTTGTATTATGGGGTGTATGTGCTTCGTAATGGTCCTAAGGCAAAATGGAAAAGATTATTGGGAAAATTTGATTATGAAGGTGAGGGAAATTTAAAACTTTTGGTATTACAAAAAGGGAATCATGTGTTATTAAAATGTGTATGATCCTGGAAAAGGTTCAGAAGCATAGATTGAAAGGCTTCTTGTTGGTTGTGTAATAATTTGTGTAATACTTAAGGGTTTTTAACGGCTTTTGAAAAGGATTTTACTAATGATGTATTTGTTATTGTTTTTATGTTGTGCAGAGTAGTGTTTTGTGAAAGTTTATGAAATAGAAAACTAGGGGGGGGAGAAGGGGGGGGATGTAGGAAGAATATGGAAGGGATTGCAGAATGGGTGAACCGAGTAGTGTAATTAAATTATTACTTATGTGATTAAATGAGATACTTATTGTATATCGATTAAAAAATGCCCTTTCTATCTTTGGTTACACACTTTTAAAGCATTGAATCTACGACCTATGTTGTAATTTTAAAGGGTTTTAATAAAAAATAAAAAAAAAAAATTTGTGTATTAAATTTAAAAAATGCAGAAAAAATTCATTTAAAAATAAATTTTTTTTAAGAATTTATCAAAAGACTCGAAATGACCCAAAATTAATTTTCATTTAATTTTCTGCCATGTAGACAAGAAGATGGAACCCCCTTAAAAACGATTTTTGTTAAATCATTTTTCGGGGGCAGCAGGGGAAAGCCCTGGTGCACAGTTAATTGTCAAGTATCCCCTGAGGGGAGCAGGAATACAAAAAAATAAATTTTCACTTCTAAGAAATTATTAAGGGGGGGGAAAAGAAGAAGAGAGGAAAGAAAGTTCAAGTGAGCACTAGATTGTGCTGATGGGCCTAATCTAAATCAAAATAAACCTTGTATTTGCAGGACTTTGAGGTTTAACCCCCCGCGCCGTGACGGAGGGGCGGTCCCCCTGGGATTACGGTAGGACAATTGCGTTTTCACTAAAAAATTGCAAGTAAGAGGTGTTTTGTTTAAGGGTCATACACGTCTTTTAACGAAGGTATTTTTTTTTAAAACTATTTCTTTCTCACACAGTCTGCCGCTGTTTTTTTACCGTTCACCTCACATTTGCACTCCCCCTGCTTCTTTAAAGTTTCCTGCCTCCCTTTACACCATCTCCCTCCTCTTAATACTTTTCTAGTTTTATTACATTCACCCACTTCCCTCAACTCACCCTTTCCTCAAGTACCCTACCTTCTCACACCCCCCTACCTTCCTCACGTCCCCCTACCTTCCTCACACTCACCCTACCTCTCACAAGGATCATTTTTAGTCATATTGTTGGCATATCCGAGTTGTTTTATGCATTCGACGTTAATCCCACTATTTTCTGAGTTGCCATTCGTGGCCCAAAGGGCAATCAGAAATCTTTTTTTTGGGCCCCACTATTTTTATTAATTGTCCCTGTGTAAGGGTAAGTTGACCCAGCTTGGCTGTGGGCGACTTTCTTACGTGATCTAGATATTTTCCTTATTAGAATGGCTCTTTGCTTTGGTCAGTAGTTTTTTAAAAGCTAATTAACTCGAAATTCTGTATAAGTAGTGGGGAAATTCAAGTATAAAAAAAAAACTCCCTTCCCCATTTTGCCCTTGCTCTTTAATAATTAATGTGGTTATTGAGATGCAACAGGCCATGAAATTGTACCAGGTTTGTAATGTTGTCTAATTGACATTAAAAAAGTTGACAGATAAATAACGATGTATGAATAAATTTACTGAGGGCCAAAAATAGGGAGAAAACAGATCAAGAAAGCTGCCAGGGACTTAAGAAAGGGTTTAATCCTTAAATGTCCCAAAGTAATCTACGTTTCTTAAAAATTTGAAAGATGTAAAAAAAACGTAGATCTTCGTTTTTTACTTTTAAAACGTGTAAAAAAAAATTTTATGTACTTTATTTCTTTGTTATATTTTAAAATATGTAAAAAAAAAACGTATACTACTTTTGGGGCACTACGCTGTGACCGTAAAATTTTTTTGGACAGTTTAAGGGTTGAACAAGGTAAGTCGGGGTCAGAAAAGTGGCGGATGTACGATGAATGTGGATAAAAAGCAAGACAAAACCCTGGGATAAAATAAACATCGCACTTAAAACAAAATAATATTTCTCGGCCTACAGAAAGTGAAAAGGACTTGGGGGTTTAGGGGAAAAACAGCAACCTGGGCAAAAAAATGCAGCGCCTAAAAATTAAAAAGCCCAGAGGTTACTTGGTTTTATAACAAGAAATAAAGCAACAGAACCCAAGGTTATATTACAGCTCTAAAAAAACCCCATAAAACCTCGTAGTTTTTCTTCACTTTTAATCTCCTACTGGAGAATAGATTAAAATTTTTAGATAATATCAAGAAGAAAAAAAAAAATTAACCCCGTGTGCTGTCAAAAAAGTCTCCCTGCTTCCCTCACACTACCCCGTTTCCCTTTTCAATTATCCTTTATCCATGATAAAGCCTATTTACAGAGAGAGAGAGAGAGAGAGTGCCTTAGTATCGACCAGTGAAGGGGCGGGGCCAGGAGCAATGACCCGACCCCTGCAGACACATACAGGTGAGTTTGGGAGACTACCAGAGAAAGAGGAGAGGACGAACCAGCGATACTGGAACTAGTATTCACCTTCAGCAATAGAGATATTGAGGACATCACATATGAAATGCCCCCTCGGAGCTTGCGATAACGTGGTTGTGATCTTTGAATACATAACGGAGTTGCAAGTGAAGAGGGAAGCCGGAAGGGCAGGGCGAACGAAGACAAACTACATGAGAGCGGACTACACAGGCATGAGTAACTTCCTGTATGAAGTTCAGTGGGACAGAGAACTGTCAGGGAAATCAGTAAATGAGATGATGGAATATTGGACAACAATTTGCAAGGCAGGAAAGGAGAAGTTTGTGCCCAAGGGCGACAGGCATAACGAGAAGCCAAGGACGAGCCCTTGGTTTTCCCGAGGTGTAGAGAGGTTAAAACCAAATGCAATATATATATATATATATATATATATATATATATATATATTATATATATATATATATATATATATATATATATATATATATATATATATTGCATTTGGTTTTAACCTCTCTACACCTCCGGGAAAACCAAGGGCTCGTCCTTGGCGAAGAGCAGGCGAACACTGATCTCTGGCCGAAGGAGACTCGAACCTACGAACCTTGGAACAAGGTACGCAGTGCTTTACCATTCTCACCAAACTGGACCAATTCTTGCGTCCAGCTTGCGCTAGACGTTGATCCAAGGCAGCCAGCTTTCAGGTAGAAGGCTTACAGCTTTTCATCTCATCCCCTGCATGCATCGACCAACTAGAGATTTTAACAATGCAAGGAATTCGCAAGAGATCAGTGTTTGTGTATATTTCGCCTGCTCTTGCGAATTCCTTGCATTGTTAAAATCTCTAGTTGGTCGATGCATGCAGGGGATGAGATGAAAAGCTGTAAGCCTTCTATCTGAAAGCTGGCTGCCTTGGATCAACGTCTAGCGCAAGCTGGACGCAAAGGTATTGGTCCAGTTTGGTGAGAATGGTAAAGCACTGCGTACCTTGTTCCAAGGTTCGTAGGTTCGAGTCTCCTTCGGCCAGAGATCAGTGTTTGTTTATTTATATATGTATATATAGTGTGAATATAATGCAGACAATCCGTAGTTTGGAGGTTAGGAGGTGTGGGATTATCAGAACTATTATCCAGAGGGCTCAGGAGGGGTTATTGAGATGGTTTGGACATGTAGAGAGGGTGGAACAAAGTAGAATGACGTCGAGAGTATGCAGATCTGTAGTGGAGGGAAGGCGGGGTAGGGGTCGGCCTAGGAAAAGTTGGAGGGAGGGGGTAAAGGAGGTTTTGTGTGCGAGGGGCTTGGACTTCCAGCAAGCGTGTGTGAGCGAGTTAGACAGTAGCGAATGGAGACAGATGGCTTTTAGGACTTGACGTGCTGTTGGAGGGTAAGCAAGGTAACATTTATGAAGGGATTCAGGGAAATCGGCAGGCCGGACTTGAGTCCTGGAGATGGGAAGTAGTGTCTGCACTCTGAAGGAAGGGTGTTAATGTTGCAGTTTTATTACTGTAGTGTAGGCATGCCTCTGGCAAGACAGTGATGGAGTGAATGATGATGAAAATTTTTCATTTTCGGGCCACCCTGCCTTGGTGGGAAACGGCCGATGTGTTAATAAATAAATAATATATACATATAATATATATATATATATATATATATATATATATATATATATATAATTATATATATATATATATATATATTTATATATATGTTATCTCTTATTACACACCGGAATTCGAACCTTCACAAAGTACTACATGCCTTGATGCAGAGTGTGTAGGTTCAAATCCTACTGTGGACTTAGAGATAATTATGCGCTTGCTTGATTTTTGACATACTCATGGACCTTGAGAACGTGAGAAATCACGAGACCGCTTAGATGTTCACTATTTTTTTTGCAGCTGCTTGTTTTACATATTGTGATATCACCTGTTTACTGAGGTCTTATTGCAACCCACTCTACCTGCCACACTCTGCTACCTTGCCAGACTTTCTACCTACCATACTCTTTACCAGCTACACACTCTACCTGCCATATACTGAATTTGCTTCGTTATGTGCTGACTTCACACTCTACCTGCTACTCACTCTACCTGCTGCACACTTACCTGCTACAATCTATTTATCTTACAGCCTGCCTGGCACAGACGTGATAATCCCTAAGGGAATTATGGTCACTATACCCATCTGGAGCCTTCAAAACGATCCCCAGTACTGGACAAACCCGACAGAGTTTAATCCAGACCGCTTTCTGCCTGACAACAAGCATAATCTCATCAGTGGTACCTACTTACCGTTTGGTCTTGGACCCAGAAACTGTGTTGGTGAGTTTAATGCATTCAGTCTCAGCTTTCAATGTTACTGTTCTGCTTTAAATTAATCTCTATTATTGTTCAAGAATCTAAATACATTTTATTCACAATGCAAGTAAGTCAGTAGCCAGTCTTCGTCAGTTCTTTTCACACAATTACTAAATTGTGAAAATTTGTGTATGTGTTCAGAGAATATAAATTTAATAGAATATTTTGTCTAAAAAGTAATATTTGTAATAACTATTGTAACATTTCTGTGGGTTGGAGGTCATCGGATTCTTAATGCTCTCTCCAGGAAATTCTTTTATCTCGGCAGTTTGGTATGATCTACAACTGTGAATGGAAATTGGGTATTTTGTTGAGAACCTCCCGACTCCCATAAACTAGCAATGATAAATAGGTCTTTTTTCTTCTAAAACTGGTCAACGTCCTGAAAAAATGCATAATGAATACTGGAGTGCCAGACATCGAGCCCATCATCTGGCAGTCCTAGATGTTGTACCTATGTAGTACAGTATTAGAATGTTAAATTTTTAATCTGAAGATTGCCCGACCAAGGGTACGAGGACTGACACTTGACTGAGAGTGTTTATAAATTTGCAGCCAGTCATGTAGTGAAAAAATACAGGTGTATATATATTCATCTCTTCAATAGAGGACTCCTTGACTCTGTGAAGAGGCTTTTGGACTGAGGAAATGGACCCTTCGGTCTTCTTCCTTCAACCGAACCTAATTATCCCTATCTCCCCCTTCCCTACCCCATTCTTCACATCCCTTCTTCCCTTGCCTGTTCTTTCCCCATCCTTCCCCTCTCCTTCATTTCCTGCTTTTGGCCTTTGGGGTCTTCCCCTCAGAAATTCTAGCTAGCAGGTTGGGGAAAGGGTATTGATATCCATCCAATTCCATTAAGGTTTTTGGTAGTGGCGTTGTTTACCGTGGAATGCAGATCATCTGGAAATGTCCCGTTTCCCCTCCAGAGTTCTGGAGGAAGGAGGGGTGGCTCAGAGTGTCCTTCATGTGATGGGCTTATCTCTGGAAGCTGCCTGTTGGTTCCAGGAGTTGGAGACCAATGGAGGTATGCCCTGTGGTGGATTACCGGCCACCCTTTCTTTTGCCCACCGACGTGGCTCGGCGGCTGTGAGGTTGCTATCCTAGATTGCTAGTTGCACTGAGGGCTCTCTTGGGTGCAGAGGGAAATAAACAATCTCTCTCATTCCTCCTGGGAGTTATCACTCCAAATTCCCCCCACACCACCTTTCTTTTCTCACCCTTTTTTTTTAATTAAATAAAAAAGGGGAAAATTATAATGATGACCCATAACCATGACTTGCCTCCTCCCGGACACTCTCTTGCAGAACCCGTTACTGATCCAGGCACTCCTTCAGATCATTCTTCGGACTTGTCTTCCAACCCAGTAACATTCCATTACCCTCCTATAGTAGTGCAGTTTCGACCGATTCTTTAGACACTTCTGACCTTCGCACAGCTTTGACTATGTTCCCAGCTTCACATACAATGCATCGTTTTTTGGATCATGTACATGACTCTGGACAGTCCACCTATAACTTTACATCCAAACCACCTCGACCTGTCACCGATGAACCTACCTCAGTTTCCTCTCGTGCTTCTACGAAACGTCCACTAAGCTGTTCCTTCCCTTATGCTCTATGAGTCAAAGTTCTTCTTGGACAAATTTTTTACACTCCAACCAATTCTACTGACTATCTTTCCGACCACAGCATCAGCAAGGGACTCTTCACCATGTTGGGCAGAACATTTCCTTCCATGGTCTTAACAGTAGCACACACGTTGTCACAGTACAACATGCAGATCAGGCACATAATCTTTCAATTCTTCACGTTGTTGACAACACACCAGTTAAGATTCGCAAGCATGTCTCTCTTAATTCTCACTGTGGATCTATTGTCCATCCACATACGATCATACAGCGCGACTTTCTCATGTGTAATGAAGACATTCTTGAGCAACTCGAGCTCCAGAATCTCCCAATCTTCAAAGTAAACACTTACATACTCGCTATATTGCAAGGATAGCGCCCTGCCCGTGGGAATGGGCGCTATCCTTGCAATATGGCTAGGCTAACTTTTGACAGCCGTGAAATGCCACCATTTGTTTACCATAGCGGGATAATGCCTACAAGTGCAGGAGGTGATTCCTACCCCACAACAATGTAGAAAATGCTGGTGCTTCGGCCACCTGGCTAAATATTGCAGGTCAGTGACTGAATGCCTTGTCTGTGGTGCAACTGACCATTATAGGCCATCCTGCAGTCACCCTCCCTCTTGTCTTAACGGCGAGAATAGGCACACTCTGCCTATTCTCGCCGTTACCCAATTTTGTTAAGAGATGCGTTGTCTTACAAAGAAAGAGGGCCTCTCTTATGCCATGGCAGTTTCCAATCTCCGCCTCCAAGGGAGGCTACAACAGCTTTCTTTATGCAGGGTCTCTCGATGGCCCCAGACCTTGATGGTGCCTGATTTCACAATTACCTCTGTGTCCTTTATAATTGTTCAGTCACTCTGTGTCCAATCCTTTTACAGTCCTGGGCTCTGAGGTTCCAACCTCATCATCTCTTCCTGTCCTTACTTCACCTTCCCACTCCCATGTTTCAACCACTATGCACCCTCTCCAGTCTAAATTGTCGCCAAATATGCCTTTTTCTCCGAAGTCTGCATCTTCATTTGCATCCAAATCTCCCCCAAACCACATGACATTCCCAAATGTGCTTCCCTATCTATCTCTGGGTCTAGACTTTTACCTCGAGATGCATCTGATACTTTTGTGGACGTTCATCAACCCCTATGTACTCCTTCTTTGGTGTCTTTTGTTGTCTTTCCACTCTTTACCCAAACTACACCTCCCTCCGTTGCCAACTCCCTTTCCCGACTTCTCTTTCATCTGAAACTATGAAGTCATCTCCGGTTTATCGAGGAGACAACACCAAAGAGAACACCAATTTTCCCTCCGATGCTTCACATTCTCACCTTCTGCGTCTTTCTTCACACCCCCTTTCATTTATGCCATCCCAATACTTCACTCCTTACTAGTTCCCAGTGCTTCTGCATCTTTACTAAAACTGATGCTCCTGGTTCATAGACACCTGAAAATGTTTACTGTTATACTCTCTTGAACGATTATGGATTGTTTACAGTGGAATATTCGAGGTCTCAGGGAAACTAAGGAGAGCTTCAGGTAAATTTTTCCCCTAGTTTTCCCCAGTTTCTAAGTACAAAAATTGTGCTCTGTTCTTTCCCATCCCATTCATCGGGTTCTTTTCCTGAAAGGACTTTTAATGAAAGTGCATTTCTCGTGCTGCACGGTATACCACATTCTCGGGTCCTTGTCCGTACTTTGCTGCATTACAATGCAACCTGCTTCTACGTAGACAAGTCGTAAACAGTCTGCTCCTTCCCTTCTCGCCTTTATCTATGACGGATGTGGTATCCTAAATTTTTTCCCCAAACCTTTTGGTCTACTCTTATTGGGATATTTTAATGTTTAAAAATTTTTTCCTCTGAGGGGGGCCCTCACTGGACTCTATTATTACCCAATTAAGGCTCTTCTCTTTTAATTTTCTAAATTCTGTTTTAAATAGGGAAAAACCCCTCGCTCTTTTCCCCCTAGCATTCAAATCTCGGGTTGCACAGCTTTCAATTTACTCCCCCCTCAGTTTGCACTCTGGCCCCAAGTGTTTCCCTTGTTTTACATGACAGCAGTCATTTTCCTATTTTTTCTTCCATACATTTTCCTCAAACCTCCTCGTACCCCTATGTTGGCATTTTTGAAATTTAAATTTGGGGCCCCATTTACCCAAAAAATTTTTAAATGAAAAACCCTTTCCTCCGAGAAAATTAAAACCATTTTTGTCCTCATTTTAAAAGCCAAGCCTAAATACAATCCCCAAATCTCGGGTAGTCTTCCTCAAAAATGGGCCCCTTTTGGTGGTCTCCTACATGTGCTCTTGTAATGCGTTTTGAAATGTCTGCATGGGGCCGATGCCCATTTTTACTAGTCCCCACAGAGCGGGGGCGGATGACGACGTCCATCCGAGATGCAAAACCCAAAAATTGTTGGGGGGATTATTTTTCCCTACCGTCATTTCGATTTTTTCTATGAGTGCTTTTTGGGAAAAAAAAGTACAAAAAATTAAATGGAAAATTACTCTCCAAACCCCTCGGGTTTAAAAGTTTTGGGTTCACATAGAAACCCCTTTTTTTAAGTTTACCATAAATTGGTAATCATCTTGTCTGTATCTCTGGGGCTACATCTATGCCCTTTTTTCTTTTTTTCCAAGTCTGCCAGAGATAACTTGTTTCTTCTACCAAAGAAGATCTTACAGGGTTCCTTTTAAAATTTTTCTAAAACTAGGGGCAATGCTTTTCCCACTTGCCGATGCTGGCAGCGGGGGCCGTGGTTTTCCCTAATTGGGTTTTGTTTCAGCTTTTAAACATACGCCCGCCCTCGCGCCCTTTTATTTTTTCTAAACTTATTGGTGGGAAAAAGGGTTTTTTCCCAGCGGGTGAAAAACTGCTGTTTTTTCTGCCAATTCAAAAACCCGGGTATTTTCAGGCCATGATCCTTTTCACATAAATCTTTTTTGTTTTCCCAATGCAGTTTCCAATTTGATGTGTGGAGAAATTTTTCTCCGGGAGGGGGGTATCACCCCCTTCACCCCTTTTTCCAGCCCTGAGGGGCCAAGCCCTCTCAAAAGGGGGGGCGAGGGGTCTTGTTTACTCCCAAAGGGGGGTAATTGATCACGGGATGCAAGCCACGTAGCCCAAGTGCCCTCGCTCCTTGCAGCGGTTTTTGAAAAAGTGTTTTTTTATAAAACGTACACCCCTTACTTGGGGCGGGAAACAATTAAGAAAACCCCTGCTCCCCTTTATTCCTTGGTATAAAAAATTGTACTTTTGTTGTCTATGTTTTAAGACAGCAAGAAACAAACATTTTTGCTTTGTTTTCATCGGGGAGGTGACGGGGGATCAAGGATA